GAAGAAGAAGAAGAAGAAGAAGAAGAAGAAGAAGAAGAAGAAGAAGAAGAAGAAGAAGAAGAAGAAGAAGAAGAAGAAAAGGGGAAAAGGAAAAGGAAAAGAGGAAGGAGAGGAAGAAGAAGAAGAAGAGGAAGAAGAAGAAGAAGAAGAAGAAGAAGAAGAAGAAGAAGAAGAAGAAGAAGAAGAAGAAGAAGAAGAAGAAGAAGAAGAAGAAGAGTTCTTCAAAAGAAGCCAACTCTGTCCACTCCTGAAACTGGGAGATATTTCATAATACTGAGACTATTTTGCGGCTTCTAGAAAACCAAAGATATTCCTATTAACAATTCCTAGAGATACAGAAATCCATCTTCTTGCTTGGTGTGTCTTTCAGGATCTTCAAGATGGAAATGGAGCTGGCCAAGACGAGATCTTATTTTGGTAAAAGGGATCACCGCTTGCATTCCCAGAGTTTTGGTCACAGCGAACCTGTGGTAAGGAAAACCTTCCAAAATCTTAACATCTGGATTTGAAACGGACCCTAGCTTAGGGTGGTTTTTGTTTTGTTTTTTGTTTTGGCTATTCTGCATTGAAGCAGAATGCGGCAATGGCACAAAGAAGATGTGGCTGTTGGGTGGCTGGCTGGGTGAGAAATGGGCTCAAAAATAAAGTGGAAATACTCCCTTCAGAGCCAGGACATGTTGGACGTCGGCCAGGAACTGAAGAACCTCCAAAAAAGCTTGGGTGCTTTGAAGAACTGCATCAAGACCTTAGAAGAGAAACGAAACGAGATGGTGCAGCAGCTGAAATGCGTGAAGGAGGTGAGTTTGGAGGTGAGTTTAGCAGAGAGAGAGAGAGAGCAGCTTGACTGCTGCAATGGGCTTTTCATGGGGCTGCCCTTGTTAAGATTGAAAGGGTGGTGCTGTTGGAAAATAAGCAAGACATAAAAACGGGATTCGTCTCAGTTGCAGGACACACCATTCTGCCCACCGCTCTTTTCAAACTGAGAAACATTCCATTCCATTCCACTAAAGTCTTTTTTGGGCAACGCCTCTGCGGTTCAGGGTTCTCTAATCCTCCTTCTCCAATTAGTGTGGCTAAAAGTCTGTAGAGATTCTTAGTCCTCCAGGTCATGGTTGCCCCAAAGGTGCTTTTCCAGGAGGCAACTGGATTTTGTTTAGTGACTCTAAAAGATTCCAAATGGCCAGCTGTCTGCAAGGAACATACATCCTTCCATTCCCTACCATCCAGTCAGAGCTGAAGATGCTTCTTGGATCAGAAGCAAAATGTCTTCAAAAGAAAAAAAAACAAGAGAGTTCAGTTGCCTCTTGAAAAAGCACCTTTGCGACAACCATGGTCAAGAATCTCCACAGACTTTTAGCTATACAGTTGGGGATGAACACCCTTTGAATGGGGTGGGACAATGAACGGATTTCCAAGAAGAAGAAAAATGCAGACTACAAGAACCGGAGCACTACTCAGATGACCCCGAGGACACAGGTAAACCTCCAAAGTGGCTTTGATGACTCTCTCACAGGATGCAAATGACCAGCTATCTGCAAAGAGTATAAATCCTTCCATTCCCCACCCTCCAGTCAGAGGTGAACTTTCTTGGAGGAGAAGCAAAATGTCTTCTAAAGAAAAAAAGAAAGAAAGTCCAATTGTCCCCTGAAAAAAACACACTTTTGGGACTCCTTGTCCAATGTTTCTATCCCTCTCTCCAGACCTTGAGATCCCCCCCCCCTTCGCTTCTTTTTCCAACATCCTTTCTTAGCCAGTTCAAACTCAGTTCTTGACTTCGCCGCTGTTAAACGTGATGGTCTGAGAATTATTTTTAAGAACCTAAGCCCATTTCTTTTCCTTTGGGTCTTCAGGGAGAGCAGAGCTCAGTCAGCCATACAACAGCTACAAAGCCACTGGAAACCAAGCGAGAAAGACGCCAACTACAAGCTGCTTACAAGAACATCAAACAGGTGTGTGTGTGTGTGTGTATTTATTTTCTGAGGTTTTTGCGGGTATTTGTATGTGGATCTTTGGTTATTCGGGTTTTCTCCCGCGTAAAATTGGAAGTATCTAGGCGACGTTTCGATGAAGTCTCATTCATCATCTTCAGGCTTGTGTCTTCCGCTTTGTGAAGCACTAGCCGAAGACACAAGCCTGAAGATGATGAATGAGACTTCATCGAAACATCGCCTAGATACTTCCA